ATCCTTGGAATGAAGCAGAGGAATTAAATTAGCAGCAGTGAGTCAGTTTCACAGGGGGAGGAAGGGGCGGGGTTGGAGGCAGAAGGGGGCGGGACGGCAAAGTAATTGGGAGGAAGGATGGGTCGTACCTTTATCATGATGAGTCTTGAAAATGCTGGGACAAAATAACCCATATGTAATCGGGTTCTGCACTGATAATTTCCAGAAAGTTTAGGCACTTTAGATGGCATTTAAAAGAAATCTGACAAACTAATATTCATGGATGAGTGCCAGCTAAAACTCAAGCAGTATTACAGGTAAATACTATTTTGGCAGCTGAAAACTACAATAATGTGCTGTTGCCTACATATTCTTCCTGAGGCATTTAGTTGGTGATGGAGTGAAGCAGGTATTGAAATAAAAGTCTTATATTGGCCTAGGTTTGATTTATTTCCTGCCTTTATTTTTACAAATAACTCAAGGAAATGAACATATGTAATTTCTTCCTCCTCCTAGTTTCTTCTCAACAACAACCCTGTGAGGTAGGTTGGGAGAGAGAGAAAAAGTGATTGGCCTGAGGTCACCCCAGCTGGCTTTCATGGCTAAGACAGGATTTGAACTCCCAGTCTTCTTCCTTTTAGACTGGTGCCTTAACTATTAAACTAAATTGATCACTCGTGACATTGTGGGTTGTAAACCTGAATTATAAAACACATCTTGTTGAGTTTCCTTATTCACTGCCATTGTAACGTCAAAAAGTTGCTGAATGAATCAATACTGAATGAGTAAATCAAACAAACCATTTATTCAGTAAAACATGCCATGCAAATCAGGACACAGAATAGAGACAATTGGTGAAAACTGTCTAGGTTCACACATTAAGTCATGGTTTCTTTTAATATTGATTTTTTTAAAAATATCACAATTCTTACATTGGACTAAGCCAGGGGTGTCCAAACTTTTTGCGAGGAGGGCCAGATTTGGTGAGGTGAAAATGTGTGGAGCCGACCATTCAGCCTGACATTCTTTGAACTATTAACATTAAATGCAAATGAACTATTTATGGAAGACTGAACAAGTAACTCCAGTGGGGGGAAGTGCTCCAATTGGCCCCCGGGCCGGACTTTGGACATGCCTGGACTAAGCCATAAATGTAGCTTGTTGATCACAATGGCCGGATTTACATTCTAAGCCAAAACCAAAGAAATCTCTTTATTATTGTAGCTTGGTGAGTGAACTCAGACTCTGACTGGCAACTGCTTTCCAAGAGTTTAAGATAAGGCTGGGAAAGACTTATCTAAAGTTTCAGATAAAAGTGATTTTGGATCTTTCCGTTCTAAAGTATGCCCCATAGCTATAGCATTTCTATTCCCCAGTCACAGACAAGATGATCTAATCAAACAAGACTTATGCTTTACTGTTCCCAGGACTTTTTAGGATGCATGTAAAACAAGAAAAAGATAAGGGAGTGATGAAAGAAATGTCCTTCTGGGTTTGGCTCCAAGTGGGGAAAAAGACACTGGAGACATGGAAGCTGCCTGGAAAGATGGTTTATTGGTGGAGAGGACCACGTGGCTTGAGTCCTGAACAGAAAAGGGGGATCACATGCTTCAATGTTGGTGGAGAAGAGAGAAGGAAAGACTGAGATGCTGAGTCCCTGGTTTTTTGCCCTCTCTGGCCTTTGATCTTGAGCATGTATTCTGATTGGTTGTCAAACTCCCATGGGGCCATGCAGGGACAACTCTCTCTAGGCTGCGTTTTGAATCCAGGTTTGGTTGAGTTCTCAGATGCCATATGGCGAGTTGGGTAAAGTCCCAATATTATCATGCCTTAATCCCATCCCCTGGTGCTGAAGTGGAGAACTCTTTATTATGTAAAGGGACTAGCTTGGCCTTCTTATGTCACAGCACAGCCCCCTAATTGAAATTGAAAGACTTGAGGTTATTTCATAATATCTTCTCCATGGATAGCTGCTCAAGTTGCATTTAAAGGAAACGGTCTATAGAACTGTAGAAAAGGTTGGTATTGTTCACAAAGACCATCTGCCTTGCAGATTGAATAAATAAAATATATATCGATGCATACAATGCATGAAAATTGTATGCCATTTTTAAAACAAACTGGTGCCCTAGTCTTTTGATGTCCATTTCAAAATGTGCTGCTTTAAATCTATTTTCTTTTAATTAAATAGATGAATTAAAATTTCATGATGCATAATATAAAAATCAAACTATGGAATGGGGAAATAGATTTAAACCTCCTACTTGCTAGTTGCACAGTCTGTGAGATTTGCTGCAATGAGAAAAAAAAGGTGAAATCACAGGTGCTGTACAACGAAGACTGATTTCAGAATTTAATCCCACAGAACACAAGGATATAAAAGTGTAGGAAAAATAATGAGTTTTCATGCTTATTTGTTCACAATTAAAAGATGGCAACAAAATGTATATGCTTATGCAAACTTTTTATGGTTCTATATCAGTACAATATTCTTTTAAAATTATGTTTTGATTACATTGTTGTTTATCATTCTTGTTGAGGGTCTTCTATTGCAGTGTTTTTCAACCTTTTTTGTGCAAAGGCACACTTTTTTCATCAAAAAGATCATGAGGCACACCACCATTAGAAAATGTTAAAAATTTTTTAACTCTGTGCCTATATTGACTATATATAAAGTAATTTTCCCACGGCACACCTTATACTATGTCACGGCACACTAGTGTGCCGCGGCACAGTGGTTGAAAAACACTGTTCTATTGGCAAAAAGGCAGACTACAAATCCCATCAATAAATAAACACAATAGAAAGTGTTGCAATAAACATGTTGCAAGTGAATATTCAATATTGTTTGGCTAGTAGTAAAGGAAAGGAAATTCTCCATTTGTTCAGTGGCACAAACCTCAAAGTTGTAGAAAGTTGGACACATATTAAATAACTGCCCCAATAAGGAGATTCAAATATTCTGTCTCAGATCAGCATAAGTATTTCCACTCTCAAGTTTGTAATTTACTGTATGAACTCAGGAAGGGAGTTCGGAATGATGTAATCTCTTTTTCCCAGTTATGAATATACTCCCACTCACTCAGTTTTTCCCTGGGGGATGTGGGTAGAACACATTTCCTGACATTTTGAACATTCAGTAGTGAAAGATTCTAGGGCCAAGACCTACCAGCTTCGTCAAAACTCTAGGCTGCCATCTAATGTTAACACAAGAAAACTGGGATTTTATCGGAATTGAAGAAGCTTCTTGGATGAGAAGCGGAACATTTTCAAAAGAAAAAAAAAACCAGAAAGTCCAGTTGCCTTTTGGAGAAGCACAACCATGATCTGGATGATTGAGAATCTCCATAGCAATTTATCAAAATTCTTTGTATAGTAGAACTATCACAAACGAAAGTAAATATACATGCCCCAGGATAATATTGCAGGATCCAATCCAGGTTGGTCACTGGGATTAGAGGTTTAATCTTCTGAATTTCTGAACTGGTGCTGGAGTCCATCCTCAGGGAATTTCTCTCTCCTCAGATGTAGATGTATCATCTTAGTTACGAGTTTTTTGTTATATGAAATGGCTGATTTAATTTTTGGATTTCAAAATTTCTGTCTACAAGGTACCTTTAACAAAGAAATCCTGAAAATACAGTATCTGTTTCATTGATAGTCTTTGCGCAACAGACCCAAGCACAAAGTAGCCAACTAACTTTGACATGCCACTTAAGGCAATGGTTGGTGTATGATGCAAAGTGCTATGTGATCAGAGAAAATTGGGTTAACCAAATAAACTGTATTTCTCTTAAGCATGGTATTGTTTTTATATATAGTTAGTGTTGAATCATGGATTTGAAGGAGTCATCTGTTACTGTACCCTCCTAACCGGAAAAGTTTGAATATTTAAACTGAGAATTCTTTTATCCTCATCCTCATCCATATCTCATTTTCTTGTTTTATCTGTGCATACACTATAAATTGTAATTTGTTAGGACAATAGGCCTTAAATACTTAGCCCTCTCTGACAAATGTTTCTCAATCTCAACAACTTTACAATGTGTGAACTTCAACTACCAGACTTCCCAGCCAGATGAGAGTTGAAATCTACAAATCTTTAAAGTGACTGAGGTTGAAAAACATAAACATCAGAGTATGGCTCCTTTTATCTCCAACTATACAAGCTGCTTGGTAATTATGGGAATTATATCAAATACCTCTGGAATGGACCCAGAATAGAGAAGGGTGAATTTAAAAATAACAGTCTCCTTCTAATCCAGACCAACAATACAGCGTGTGGGCAACTAAAGTTCCTTTATGACTTGTGCCCTTCAACTCCCAGAATTCCCCAGCCAACCTAGAGGCCCGTAACCCACCTATGTAACTTTTAAGACCTGTGCCCTTCAACTCCCAGAATTCTTAAGGCAGCCATGCTGGTTAAGGAATTCTGGAACTTGGAAGTTCTCAGGTCATAAAGGTGTCATAGTTGCCCTCTCCTGATCTATAGAGAAACAATAACCTGACACATGTTCAGTGATGTCGGCAAGTTCCGGAATTTGTTTTTTTTTTAAATCAACTGTTGGCTGAAAGGAACGGATTAGAATTTGGTAGAGACGGTGGAGAGCTAGCAGGCTGATCACTAAATCCAGACACAAGGAGAATAGCTCGCGCTATTGAGAAGCGAATGTGGATGGCAGAACTCTTTGTGAGTTGGATTTGGGGAGGACACAGAGGGCTCTATTTAGGCTCGGTTTCACCAGGCGGATACATGAGTTATTGTGGGAAAAGAGAAGATGATGGAGGAATATTTAGAGGGGATATATAAACAAGCAGGGAGCTAGGGAATAGTTAGAAGGAGCAGTGTTTGTAAGGCATTTCTTCTCTGATCTTTCCTCCTGTTTCTGCCTTTTATGCAGGTCTAGTTCAGGTAGTTGCGGTACAGCGGACTAGGCAAAGATGCTGCTACTGGTAGTTTTGTGCTGGCTGTGGGGACTGACATCTCTGAAGCAGGGGGGTACAGCTTCTGCTACCTTCCTGCCCTCCAGCATGGACACACTGTTCCAGAAGATTAGCCACCTCTTCGAGCGAAGTCGGGTAAGGAAGGGGGGGAAAGGGTCCAATTCCTTCTCTGGACAAATGGAAGGGAAGTTCTAGCACTATCAATTATCAGATACTTTCTAAGAAGATTTGATGTTTTAAATTAAAGTACTACTCTATAGTATCCTTTTAGAAAAAGGAGACTCCTCACAATAAATGGACAACATACTTAGCCACTATGTAGAGAATCTAATTTACATTCAAGCTGATGTAATAATTGCATGCAACTTTTTGTCTAATTTGTGTTCTGAAGTTTACACATTTTAGCAAACTTTTGGCAAGTCCATTCTTGGATTTTTTATTTTTTTTGAGGCATAGGATTGTCTGTGCACTTTTTAATTTTCATTGACTTCCTTACTTTCTCTACACTGTACATAAGGACTATTCTTTGCCTTTTGTAGGAAGTGCTGGGGAAAGATCAATTTGATACTCCAGTTGACATTGATAAGCTGCCCCCCAACTACCATCATGAGGAGAATAAGCAGCGGAGAGTGGGAAATTCCACTTTTTCCAGACACTATGAAATCAATAAAGTGAGTAAACTATAGAAAATAGGAAAGAAACATATAAATTATTTAAACATTAAGAATCTTGGATAGCTATATTCACTTTGATACAATGATAGATGTATGCTATATAGAGCTCTAACCTACGTTCTGAGGTTTGTTTTTCAATGTCTTAATGTTAATTCTGCTGCATTTTGATGAAGAGTCAGCTATTAAAAGTTTTTACGCATTTAAAGTATTAATAACTTGCTGCTTTACTTAAAATAGGAAGCAAATTAAGTGCTTAGTGGTGGGGCAAACTGCACCAGAATGATAGAAGTGGGATAAACCTTTGCTCTCAATTTTAAAGAAAATTGTCTGTGGATATGAAAAAAGCACATTAAAAAGGATCATTCTAATTTGGCTCCCTGCCTGGTAGAAATATTCAGCAAAGTTCAGTGAAGCAAACTTTACTGACTGAAAGTAAAGTACTTTCTACTGTGTTGACTGAAATGACCCAATTGAGTCTATCACTTTGGCATTTTTTAATCTTATCCTGTTACAGGTATAAAGAAAGTCCAATATCAGTCAGCATTCTTTGGTAGTAGGTATAGTTTCAGAGGTTTGCCAGCGGCCTACACTCCCCTTACAGATTTGAAATTGCCCTCATTCTTTGACAATTAGTGCTGCAATTCACCATTTTCATTTCAGCAATGTCCCAGGGAAAATTGGTATGAAGAGCCTTATGGGAAATTATTCACATGGCTTTGAGACATCTATACTGTCCGGTGTGATTGCCAAGTAGTTCCCATTCCAACAGTGCTCTAACATAGAGTTCCAGGATGACAAATTGCCACAGATCTTGGCTAAGCTTGAGGCCAGCCATAGTGGGGACCTGATTTAAATGCTCCCAAAACTTGTACTGCTTCTTGGCTGTGGCTTGCCCTCTGACACCACTGGATAACATTGCCATATCTCGCTGCTTTAGCAGAGTAAGGAAGATACTCAGAGATGATTCACACCCTGGTCAGTGTCTCTTTGCACTTCTACCATCAGGCAGAAGGCATCAAAGTATAGCCAGCCAAACAAACAGGTTAAAGATAGTTTCTATCCTTGGGTTGTGAGACTTTTAAATACAACCACAATCACTCCATGCATACACTAGTTTTTTTTTCTTTCTTTTTTTGTTTCTGTTATAATTTTGCATCAGTGGGGTTAAAATCAATTTCATTGTATTTAAGTACAATGACAATAAAGATTATACTTATATTGCTGGAATGTGTATTTTCCTGTGCATCGGAGTGGACTGCGTGGAAATTCTGATCAAAGGATCCCACAGCCATGCAGTGCCTCAGCCATTAGGGAATTTGAAAACATATTCTTTCTCTTTGTGAATCCTATTTAACCCTATATTGTTCTTTGTAGATGACTGATAATCATACAGGTGATATGATGTTTTCGGAGAAATCTGTGACCTCTATTGAGCAAAAAGAGATTGATCCAAAGGAGGAGGTCAGTATGCAAAATATGAGCATATTTCATTACCTTTTCCTGCCAGATTTAGCCTATGTACTGAACATGTTTGTGTGTGTGGGAGTGGAAAATAATGTGTTGGACAGGTGGTATTATATTAGAGGTAAGTAACACGTGGCCCTTGAGTACTCTCTCTGTCATCTTTGGATTTTTCTGACTATAACAGATGAAAACAGACACCTTTCTTATTCTAAGGTTAAAACACATAAAAACTATGGTGCAAATCTTGAAATTGGCATATTTCATTAAAAAAAACCCTCAAACATCCAACCCCTTCCCCTGCCATTGAGTTATGTAATTTTGCTTACTTTTTCATATAATTTTTCATCTGCCTTCTTCCCTCAAAAGTATAGATATGATCACCTAAAGATCGGATACTTTACTGCAGGATTCTAAAATGGGTGGTGCAGGTGTGACAGTCATAGGAGTAGACTTGTTATTTTTTCTAAATGACCATATTGAATTTGTTACAATGCCTGCCTGCATGCTTTAACAAATGTACTTGGGAAGTTAATGTTATATTACACGTGAGCTATATCTACTTTTGAATATTAAGTTTCATGGTATTTTGGGGGGAGGGGTGTATTTTTATGTAACAATAGCAGTCAGGAGCATTCTTTCTCTTCTATAATTTGTCAACTGATTATTACGTTCTAATGGACTCTGCTCTAAAGGACTGAAGGCAAGGCAGTGAAAAAAACCCTGCCAGATCAATGAAGTGAGCATTATGATGTCATAATCAAGTTTTACCATTTAATACTTGTGCTTTGTTGCATGCAAGGATATCAGGGCTATAACTTACATGTTTGTTTTATCACTTGTCCACCTTATCTATTATGGGAATCAAAGAAATTAGTACAGTGCTGTCATTTTTAATATCTCAACTACCACTTTTAATGAAATATAAAAAAGTTATTAAAATTGAAGCAGAATCCAAACTGGTTAGATATGAGATAAAAAAGGTATAGAAAACCTGACTGATTATTCCTGACTTGTTCTAGAATTTTGTTAGTCTTCCCTTATTAGGAACCTGACAGCAAAATCCACAAGTTAACATACATGGTATATTTTGGATTTTTATTCACATGTCTGACTTCAGACAATTCAATACCGCTTAAAAACTTTTAAGCAAGGACCAAAGGCAATAATTTCTTTGTTTTCTGACACTTTCCCAGAATTTGATACTAAAGCACAGTATTACTGAAGATGATTTATTCAATTATTAAAGGTAACAGCATTTGTTAAACTTATGACCATCTGTCCAACCCATTTTCATAATCAGAATTCATGAGTCCCTTCCTTTTACTAATCTTTGATTAGATTTATATTTCCCTAACCTAGAGTTAAAGGAAGAATTTGGATTCCAAAATCACTCCCACTCTTAACATACATTCTCTGATCATATAGGTTTAACAAATTCACACAAATCTTCTAGGCTACCCTTCTCTAGGATCTTCTAGAGGAGTTGGACTATACATTCTGGTACTTCTGGGCAACATGACTATTTTGTATTCTTATAGAGGAACATTTTTTAAAAAATAGAATGTAGGGTGAGGAGGATTAGAAATGTAGAGAGCTCAGAAGACAACAATAATACCCATTTTCATTGCTTTTTATCTCCATCTTTCTAGGACAATAAATCAATGTCTAATGAAGAAGAAAACAGTGCTGAGCCAGAGAGAACAACTGCTGGGCTTAAGATTTTCAAGCTAGGTTTCCCTCAGCTTCGGCCAAAGCTAACTTTTCTTATTTTTCGCTTGCCCCAGCATCTTAAGAATCAGCAGATGCCTGAAGCCAAATTGGTAAAAGAAGAGCCAATCAGTGATAAGAGGCACAGATTGCTGGCCATTCGGAATGGGCTTTTAGCAGCCCCCCATCCAATTAAGAAGATTCTTCCTGTGACCCCAAATCACAAGGTCACTCCACGAAAGCGTCATTTCTTTTTCTTCTGGAAGAAGATATAAGGCATTAGAAACATATGAGGCATTGGGAAAACATAACACCTGGGCTAGTGGAAAATGTTCTAGCTTCCCAAATATTTTATTGTCACATCAAAAGTTTAAAGTGAGGTTGGCCCTACAAAAGGGGGGAAATGTTTCCTTCAAGAATTCAAAATAAAAGTTTCTTTTGAAAAAGCTCTTGAAGATGAAATAATGTATTGATTTTTTCTGGAATACTATGATGGTGATGTTATCCATTCAGTCGGGTCCAGGTCTTGGGCAATTCTGTTGGCTAGATCTCTCCAATCTTCCAATTTTGCACTACTTGAGTTCTTCCATGCTATGCCAGGCATCAACTTTGATGATGTCCAGCCACTATATTCTTTGACGGTCTGGTTTCCTTTTATCACTAACTCTTCCAAACATCATGATGGTAGCTGCATGAATCTCTGGGGGTACATTGTATTTCAAATGGTGCAAACAAGTAGACACACTACTTAGGTTCCATAAGATGACACTGTTTGATGGATAAAATCTAAAGCACACCTACAGTATCCTCCTCGATCACATCAAACAGACGAAAGAAATATACAATCCCTTAGATAGCCAAGCCCTATGCCATACAGTTCTTTGAAATTGATAATCAGCAACTTTATCTACACCTAGAAACCAACTGGTAATATTGTGAAGCTGTACAGGTTCATGTGCTCCTATCATTATTTTTGCTGTTGTATTCTAGACCAGTTGTAGCTTCTGGATGATCTTCAAGGGCAGCTCCATTGCTGTAATACAATTGTGAAGTGGCCAGGGCATAACTGACTGAAGAGCAGAAAAAGGTGCAAGCGTGTCTGTGCAAACCATCTTGGTTACAACTGCCACCTGCTCTTTGAATAGGAATTACCAATTACCTCCACTAGACCAATTAGATCCCACAGACTAGGCCTCCTCCGAATTCCATCCGCCGGCCAGT